TCTGGACTTAGTAACGCACTGGACTCAGGACTTAGTAACGCACTGGACTCTGGACTTAGTAACGCACTGGACTCAGGACTTCGTAATGCACTGGACTCAGGCCTTAGTAATGCACTGGACTCTGGACTTAGTAGTGCACTGGACTCTGGACTTAGCAGTGCACTGGACTCTGGACTTAGCAACTCACTGGATTCTGGACTTAGCAGCGCACTGGACTCTGGACTTAGCAGCGCACTGGACTCTGGACTCATCTGAGACCCGCAGAGCCCACCTGAGACCCCGACCAGCCCACCATACATCCTGCACAGCCCACAGAGACTCTCTATGGTGGGATCTACAGGGTCTCTGGTGGGCTGGTCAGGGTCCCTTTCCCTGCACATGCAGCTCCTTACCTGCTGATGCTGGCCTCCGCCGCCGGACCAGTGCTGCTTGGACCTGGCCTCCTCCGCACTGGAACAGCGCTGCTGGGTCCAGCCTCCGCCGCCAGACTGGCGGTGCTGGGCCCCAGCCTCCTCCACCTCCTCCACTGTCAGTGGGCCCCCCAGCCTGGGGTGGCTGCATTTGGGCGCCGGTAGTTCCGCCTCTGCGGAGGCCTCAGTGCTGCAAAGCAGAAGTGCTAACCAGTGACTTACACTGAGAATACCCACAAAAAACATAATCCTGCTTTATTGAGGTAACAATACCACTGCAGACCCATTATTAGCTTACTGCATGTCCAATAATACTGAAAGTGTTTCCTTCTTTTTTAACCAATTAGAAATATCAATATACTCTATTTACTAAAACGTGAAAATCTCTTGGCTGCTTATATAAAACGTACAGGCTTAGTATAATTACCAATTCTGTTAAGCTGTATCTGTAATGGAAAGAAATACACTGGAAATCCTGCAATGAGGATAACCACCAAAGGACTAGTGTACATGGGCTTTTGAGTTCAGTTGAGGTCAGATTAAGAGAAGTTTTTGATTTTTTTTTCTCCCATACAATCAATGTAAATGCATTTAAAACTCATGGCAACACATGGCAGGTACAACTCATAAACATTACAATTGCATCAAAACTGATAAAAAAAATATTTGTATACGCTATCCCAAATGGTCAAAGCATTGCAGAAAAGAATTCCCTAAGAAGTCACCTTTAAAGCCTGTCCCATTAATCACTCAACACCATCATCCTAAAGACACTACTACTTTTCCACTGAATGCAGTCTGTAAATTAGCTAACAATTTGTGTCTCTGTGTACACCCATTCCATTATCAAATCCAAGGGCTTTTGACTCGACAGGAACCACAATTTTGCTTTAGTGTAATGAAATCAGTACAGTTTGCATTTGAAGTAGCATGCTTTCTGAACACCCGCTGCACAGCTTACATTTATAGTCAGGGCAAATATATTTAGTAGAGGTGCACCGAAATGGAAATTTCAAGAACAAAACAGAAATGAAAAAAAACGAAAATGAGAGGCCAAAAGTGCCATTTTCGGCCGATATGTTTCAGTGGCCGGTATATTGGTGCATCCCTAATATTTAGGGTGTATAACTTTCAATCTGATCATGTTTAGATTTATAGATGTAATTGAAATCTTTATTTTTTTACCATTTTACAGCTGAACGTGAAATTGTCCGTGATATCAAGGAAAAACTGTGCTATGTAGCTCTAGACTTTGAGAATGAGATGGCCACTGCTGCCTCCTCTTCCTCCTTAGAGAAGAGCTATGAGCTGCCTGATGGGCAAGTCATCACAATTGGTAATGAGCGTTTCCGTTGCCCAGAGACTCTCTTTCAGCCATCCTTTATTGGTAAATAGTAATGCGTGTTTTCTAGCACCAATTTTAAAAGCAAAATGCCACAGTTAGGTCAAACTAACACTATTCCCTAAATATACTAGGTATGGAGTCTGCTGGTATTCATGAGACAACCTACAACAGCATCATGAAGTGCGACATTGATATCAGGAAGGACTTGTATGCGAACAATGTAATGTCTGGTGGAACCACCATGTACCCAGGTATTGCTGATTGTCACTCACGCAGCTGGGCGGATCCCGTCATCTAAGACGTGATCCGCTCCGGCTGCGGCGTCTCAGTATACCGCGAGCTGTAGCTCGCGGTATACTGAGCTTGGGGTAACGGGAGGACGCTAGTTTGTGTCCTCCCGTTACCCTAAGGAGAACTATGGGGAAAAACACTGACCCCATAGTTCTCCTTTAATGTGAAATTATAATTATATTTAGAATGATGGAATAACCTACTGATTTCAAATCCGCCTGATTATGAATTTTAAATGTAGAACATTTTAATATAGTGTGTGAACTTAAAGGGTTATTAAAGCCTCACATGTTTATCTCCTTATAAGAGGCATGATTTAAGGTAAGTCCTTACACTAACATTGGGGGAAGGGAAAAAAATATCCTTTAATGTCACTCGAACTCTAAACTGCTGAGCTGTATTTATCTTTTATATGTTACAAAATAGGGATTGTAGTGTGTGTGTGTGTGTGTGTTAAAATTATATATTTATTTTCTTCCATTTTTTTACTAAAAACAGGTTTGTTAAACAATTGTAAATATCATATAATAAAACAATATTGCAATTACCATATTTGTATTCTACAAGTCCTCTGCTTTTAGAAAATATATAATGTTTTGGGGGTGTTAAGTAATCTTCAGGTGCATTTCAGCATGTGGATAAAAAAATTGATTAAGTGGCAAAAGAGTTTAAAGATCTTTGTTTTGCCTCACAGATCATTGCTCCACCTGAGCGAAAGTACTCAGTTTGGATTGGGGGCTCCATTTTGGCTTCTCTGTCTACCTTTCAGCAAATGTGGATCACCAAACAGGAATATGATGAAGCTGGTCCATCCATTGTCCACCGCAAATGCTTTTAAATTTATTTTTTGTCTCTGGTTAAAAGGATTTACAAAATGTTTAAAAAGCCATCTAACTTTACAGATAACAATACCTGTCATTGTTGCCACAAAATGATGCTAAAAATGTAAAGTGTACATAAATTATAATTTATTTCAGTGTTTTACAATTTGGAAAACAATGCACAGAAGCAAAAGAATGTCACAATGCAATAAATTAGTAAAGTATGTCACTTACTAGTTACTAGTAGTACTACTTATTAGTTCTGATTTGCAAATTTTGTTATGGGGACCTGTGTACCTCAGTCTTAACACCGCTAGTGCCAAACCTAATGTGTTTAGATCTAATTGTGTTGCCTTTAGGCACCATGGCAATGTACTACTTGCCTACATGTTTTTGAGACTGGCTTCTGCTCGTTAAATTGATTGGTTTATTAACAACGAAAAAGCAGCGCTGAGTGAATTAAACTACAAAGTATCAGATACAACTAATACTAACCGTGAAATAATGTGATACAATGTAACATATATATCAGTAGAAAAAACACATGTGTTAGTATTGCTCTAATCAACATACACCTCAGTGCACGTCATATAATGCTACAAAAAGGTCCATAAAGATGGATCTTCAAAAGTCCATTAAAAAATAAAGATATAAAAGTTGATGAAAGGTGATCTCAATATCCTGTGACCCTCACCAGAGAAATTGTACGGAATGCACCTCACCTTTATCAGGGGCCCATCAGGGTCTGTATGTGCTGTACCTCTTTTTATTAGAGCCAGGTAGAGGAAGCACCTGATATTGAACACCTCCCGGTGATTTCCTCCTCTCAATTACAAATTAGACATGTGCGATTTGTTTCAGAAAGATTCGTTATTCAGATGAATTTTCGGAGATTCGGATATATCCGAATGACAGAAATGACGAAAGAAAACGAATCGGAAGAGCTAGAAGTTCAGAAAGAGTTGACCGAGCTACGGATTGCTCACGACTCTGCTATGGGGCCCGAATACGACTGGTAAGATCAGTAATTGTGGCAGTATTAATCTTTTTAATGGAGAACTATGGGGTCAGGGCTTTTCCCCATAGTTTTCCTAAGCGTCACGGGAGAACACAAACTAGCGTTCTCCCATGACCCAAAGCTCAGTATACCACGAGCTACAGCTCGCACTATACTGAGACGCCGCAGCCGTCGCTGTCGAGATCCACCCAGCTGCGGGATTGACAGCTGGCTCTACCTATCCAGAGGCAGAACCAGCTGTGCCCGCCCCCTCCCCGTCCGTTCCGCCAGTCCCCTGTCACTCACGGCTCTCTGCAGGGATAGATCGAGATGTGAGCGAGCGACGGTATCTACTGACGGGATCTACTGAGCCGACCTGTGACAGTTTCATTGTCACAGGTCGGGTCAGATTATGAGGCTGAGTCAAAATCACTCGCCTCATAATTCTCCTTTAAGGCGGGAGCCTTGAGAGATCAAAAAGCCCCGAATCGCACACTTGTGTGCCTCCCAGATCTAGTGAGGTGCCGCTTGGGAAGCCAGATTAGTAGCAAAATAATTGCGGTTTTCCATCTCTAAGGCTACACTAACTCCCTCGTCCTGTAAGAGGGACTCATGAAGGTGCCACTGCCAGTTTCTTTGTGAATCGTCCTCCAACTGGATTTCCAGGGCCACCGGGGAGTGATCCGAAATTGTGCAGATCTCAATGGAAACTGTAGAAACCCTGTGTAAATCCGTTTGCCAAAGCAAGAAATAATCCAGGCGAGAGTAAGACTGGTGGGGTGTGGAAAAAAAACATGTAATCCCTAGCGTGGCCATGGAGAACTCTCCAGACATCTAGCAGTTGCATGACGGTAACAATTTCTTAAATCGCCGGAGAAAGGCATAGGACAGATGTGATGCATTATGGGAAACATCAAGAAGCTGCTCTGGGGCCAATTTGAGATCGCCCCCCACAACAAGGGTACCTTCCACAAACGAAGACAGTTTGGAAAGGCAATGTTCTAAGGACTCAATCTGATTAACATTCGGGGTATATACATTCACTAACGTCACCAGTGAGCCCTCTAAATCACCCTTGACAAATAAGAAACGGCCCGTAGGGTCCTCTAAAGCTGCCCTGAAATCCCATTGCACTGACCTGGCTGTGCTCACCCCCCTATACTTGGAATCAGGAGAGGTCGCGTCATAGGCATTGGGGAATCTGAAATTGGTCAGTCCCTGGGCCTGACCCAACTGAAATTAAGTCTCCTGAATGAATGCCACCTGCACCACCTCTCTCCATAATTTTCCTAATGCCTGAGACCGCTTTTCCGCAACATTCAGGCCCTTCACATTCCAGGTGAGAATCTTAGTAGGCTGTTTAGGCAGTATCCTCTGGGGTGGACATGCAGGTGACGAGTCAGCCATGACGCACAGCCTCCTGCTTGGGCAGAAAGTCGCACTACTGGTTTCCCCCACTCTAACTGACCAACTGGGGATATCAAGGGAGGGGGATATCAAGGGAGGGGAAATAGAAAGGGAAGGAGAAGGCAGTAGGGGGAAGGCAAAGAAAGAAGGTCTATAAGCGAGAAGAGAAGGAGGAAAATTGAGAGAGGGGGACAGGACGCCCCACAGTGAATATATACAAAAGGGAAAGGTAAACCCAGAACTAAAATACTAGTAAAACTTCCAAGAATTCAGGACTCCAAGGGATGTCCCACAGAGAAACCCTATGTGGGGAAGTAGCACAACCCAAACATGAAATCTGTGAGCGGCCCGAACCATAGAGGCCAACAACTATTCAACTAAAAAGTACACTGGTGCACCATGGACCTAAGCGGTCCCCCATTATCACAGGGATTGCATAGACTAGTGACCCAGAAAGAACCCCCCCCCCCCTTTGAGACCCAGGAGGATCTGCAAGGCAGTGGTAAATATAGTACTTAGGGGAGCAGACACAGGACTCCAGGTTGCCAGAGTACCCAAATAGCTCACAGGTTCCCCTGTGGGAGTCTAGCGTGGATGTGAATGAGGTCATCCCCTCAACCTTCCTCCTGCGTTCTGGGTAACGCTAACAGGCAGATAAACATAAACATCGCCCCATCTTAAACATTCCAACAAGCAATACAATATGCAAACCCAGGAAAACAGTACGGTACAGCAATATCAGAGAGGAACCTCAAGCTGCAGTGCCCATGGGCATTGTTCAACACAAGACCAGGTCCTTGGCACAGGCCTCTAACTCGAGTCTGTCAGAAGCATTCCAATAATGGGTGGGCAAGCCTGCCAGGCCAGCAGAGTCTGTTCTGGGAAGAGGAATGCACAGCCATGCAGGTGAGTGTGCAAGGTTCTCCCTGAGACCTCACCAGGGGTTCTTTGTATTAACGGAGCACAGTCAGGGCCTCCTAAATGGCAACAAAAGAAAAAAAAAACAACAGGTATCCAAAACCGGCAACTGGACGACCTCAATCCTCTCTGGATGCAGTGCCACTTAGGTCCCGGTTTTGATCCCTACGAGGTCTGCGGGAATGCTGTCTCCTGGGTCTCAAGTTGCTCCGGGAGGGCTCCGTGCGATCCGGGAGAGGGAACAGCCAGTTTTGAACCATGACAGGTTCGCATTCTAATAGGGAAAACAACACTGGTAGTTGATCCGGGCGGTTGAGTGCAAAGTGTTGATCACCCCTACGAACCAGGAGATGGAATTTGTGTCCCCAACTGTAGGATGCAAACTGTCTCTGCATGTACAACGTGTAGCTGGAAAGGTATGGCAGCTATGAGATGGAGGTACCGTCAAAGTCAATAGACTTAATTTCTTTCTTCACGGTAAAGAAGTGAATGCGGCATAAGACATCTCTTGGGGTGTCGTCTCTAGGGTTAGACGGACCATATACTACTCTATCCATCTACAGGGGATGAGTCGGCTCCCTGTCCAATAACATGTTCAGTATAGTGGACACTGTGGATCTTAGGTCTGCTCCAGAGGTGGCTTCTAGGATTCCTCTGAGACGTACATTGTTTCTGCGGCTCCTATTTTCACCATCGTCTACTTTAGGATGGAGGGCAGTAACTGAGCAGCCTGTGCCAGCACTACCACCTGTAAGCGGGAGTCCAATGCCGCCCTGTTTGTCTCCAGGGTCGTCACCCTAGCATCCACCCCTGTTACCTGCTGCCGAACGACCGCCAGCTCCTGCTTCAGCGAGCCTTCCAAGCGTGCAGCCATAGTGTCCAGGTCTGAGCGAAGTGTAGCGAACATGCCCTTGAGCTCCTGCCCAGAGACAGGTGAGTGTTCGCTGACCCGACCGAGAAGTTGGAGTCCACAGGTGAATCCGGCCTCATAACTAGTGGGATGGGTAGTGGCCAGTTGCTCGGCTGCTCACCGGGTGAAGAGATACCGTTGTCTACGGCCGTGGAGCACGACTCCGCCAGACAGCTGCGAGCCGGAGATGCATGTGTGTGCGCCATCTTGGAGAAGCAGCCTATCGCGCGTTTGTCGGGCAATTCGCATTTTGCGCGCTATCGCGCAAATGCTTGCATTGAGCAAGCTGGAATCGCGGCAAAATCCGCTCCAAAAAGGGTCCTGCTGTAGCGACGCACGACCCGCGACAGCAGGACCCTTTGCCCCATTGCCATGCATTGGAGAGTGATATCGCGCGGTAAATAGCCGCGATATCGCTGGAATTAGCGTGCGATCAATTGCTTAGTGTGAACGGGGCCTAAACGGCCGGACAGCAGACGGAGTGCGGGTGGGCGTTTTTAAATGTCCTAACCCACCCCGCTCGTGCCCGCCGCTAGGCCACGCGCACGAACGGGAAATTGTCTTTGAATGTAAACATCCAGCGATGGCTGTTTACATACAAGCGTTCAGACGTCTGTAGAGACGTCCGATCACTTGTAATATGCGTGCGTTTGTGCGCCCCCTCCGTTGCCGCTGGCGAACCCGAGCTCCGCTGGGCCCGGACAAACTACAGTGTAGACAAGGTGCGGTGCGAAGTGGAAGGTTGGGGTTTTTTTCCCTTTGCTTCGCTTCGCATTGCTTCGCATCGCTTCGCCTGCAGTGTGTCACAGCCTTGAGAGGGAAAAGGAGGGAAGTCTGTCTTAATGCCACCCTTCCCTCAGAGTGACAGTGGCAGTTTCAAGTCCCCTCACTGTATCTGTGTAGTGTGAGGTAAAGTTCAGTAAGGTCATGTGACCTTAGGGCTTGTTGTTGAAGTCTCACTCTCCCTCAGAAACAGGCCCACCAAATAAAGCTT